GTCAAAAACTTTGTCTTTTCTTCTTCAACTCTTCTGCTCAGGTATTTTGTAGATATTGTACTTTTTTTTTGGATTACAAATCTTTACTGCTGTTGGAATTGTCTTTATTTTCATATCTATATATATTACTTGTGTTAGAGGGTGGATGTATTAAGTTTGTGCGGATATTTAGAAGACCTGGAAGGACTTAAAAGAGACCCACCCTTTATTGTACCAATCGGACCCTGAATCGTTTTAAACTTGTCTCTCCGTCTGTCCGTGTGGTTTTTTTTTATTTGTCTTTCTTCTACATATCGCAAGGGTTGAGGCATTTCGATGAAATTTAACACATCGCCACATTTTGCCCCAAGCCTTGATTCAGAGCAGTTTCCATATAACGCCTTATAATGAAAATTTGTCATTTTCCAAAATGTCGCGACAAAACTCGTTGGGTGATAGTATTTTGATACTCTAAATAGGGAAATTTTTTGAGCTCCCCGCCGTTCATATAGAAACTTCATCTTTAAAGAACTATAATTTTTAACCGTTCACGATGAAAATTGGCTCATAACAGTAAATTGACATAGACCTTACCGAACTTGGACCACGTAGCTCTATTTTCTTGGATACCATCGCCAGAATGCGTTGAAGTATCTCGTAAAGGAAATGATGAAACGAAAGTTAATAAAATAACAACATTCAAGGGGCTTGGTAAGGATGGTGGGTCTTTTTAATTCAAGGCGCTCTGTGGCCGACATATGTTTTGCTACAAATTCGAATCTAAATGAAAAAAATGGTTTAATCTTAATGCCGCACAAACTTAATATACCCTATACTACAAGTGATGTAGGTCATAAAAAGCTATCGAAAGGTTAGAGGAGCATTGTTATGAATACACCGTTTGATGAATTAAATCGAATTTAAAGAAAAAAAAAGTTCGGCTTTCTTAGTTAGACCGAAAACTTATTGAGTGATGCCATATATCAAACTTTTGTTTGGTGTTTTCATTTATGTTTATTAAAGAAATTAAACAAATGTATATATATATTTATATATATATATACATATATTTACTTTAAAAATATTGCTTGCTTTTCATAACAACTCTTCCAAGATTGTCACAATAGTTTCACATCTTTGCAGATGTTTGTCTGCATAAAGGCGCATGGGTGGGAGTGTGAGCGTATGCCTACTCAAATAAATATTCATATGTCTAGGGAAATGCGATAACAGTGCATCCACTTCTGTTGGCAATTAAAGTAGAAAATATCTCTTAAGTGCTTCCTCAAAACGTATCTTATTTTAAAAGCTTACTACGGCAGCTCTAATGCAAGTGCAGTTAAAAATATTTACAAACATTTACATTTCTATATATATACACAGGCTGGCATTAATGTGCAATATGTATAAGAAAGAGTATTATAAAAAGAAAGGATAATTTTTTGCTTTATTTATTGTTAACTGCTATTGCTTTTGCGTTTCTTTTTTTCTTGTCGACGCATTTTGAACGCGTCAATCTGTATTCTTATCATATTTAATATAAAGCAAACTTCTTTTAGAAATGCATTTACATGCGACGGAAAAAAAATGCCAAACTTATCCAGATAAGAGAAAATGTGAAGATTTTTTTTAAATTGAGGTTTTAACAATTGCTTATTACCTGCATTGAAATGCAAGATTCGTAGAAATTCTTGAGCGAATTTCCAGCATTAACTATTCGCAAATAAGTTGAAAAGTTATAGCAGAGCAAGCTGGCTGTCTTTCTGACGATATCATCCAAATAGCGCACTACCAATAAAGCCTGTCTTTAGGCCAAGATATGTGAGTGGATCAAATTTCATTACACCTTTCGTTTGAATATTAATTAGGAAAATACCGGGTTTTATGTCGGGGAAGCTAGAGGACATAGGGACGGACAGGCTTATATTGATTCGCAATATTATTCTATGACACAAGTGATGCGAGATATCAAAAAAATTATCTTTCTTTATAAAAGAAATATAAGTCGATATAGTTATTAATTTCAGTTGTGTTCACTGATTTGCTTATATCTATTTACGTCAGGAATTAACGCAAAAAGTCTTTGGGAATGGCCTTAGATAAAGTATAAGTATCACTTTATAATTCAATAGAAAATAAGTAAAATAACTATAGCGGCCCATGGCCCGCCATTAAATATGCTATATATCTCCATTTAACGCAGTTTTTCATGTAAAGACTTTTTAAAATAAGGCGTTATATGAGAAGTGGTCGAAAAAGTAGTACGAAGTGAACCATTTTCAGAAGCAATTACGTTTAGGAAAAAATATTGAACAGAAGAATACAAGATGGACAGAGGGATAGACTAACTTAGATCGAGTCAGAAGGTGATTCTGACAAGATCGGTATAATAAAACAAAAATCTGCCTCAAGTTATTCTGGGTATTACATAGATGTACACATACGCACACAAACTTAATAGCACCACTTGTGGTACAAGGGGATGTAAGTTATAAAATCAAATGACCGTTTGAAGATAGGGATTTCGGATGGAAAAATTTATAAGTTTTCCCGATCGCCAAAACCAAATTCCATATAAGATTATTCTGAAGTTTGAAGCTTCGAAATTAAAGCCAATTTCGCACTCTTCTCGACGCATCAAACTCTCTAATCATAGTTAACTGTAAGTATCTGTCCGTTTGTCCGTATGTCATAGACATTACCCTGATCGTAAAAATTAAGCTATCGACTTCAAGTTTTGCAGAAACATTTGACGTTGTTGCACGCACCTTGGTATTGAAAATGAGTCAAATCGGTCGAAGGACACGCCCACAGTACCACATAAAGTAAGAACATGTTTGTTTTTCGAAATTGGTTTTCTACTGATTTTCTCGTACACTATTGCATATAGCATATATGTAAATCTACAAAAATTTGAACGCATATTGTATGAGTGATCGTATAGCACTTGTGTATAAAAATGGAAAAAATTGACCACGCCTGACCAGTATTATAGTGTGTCGTTGTTAATATTTTTTGCAGAAGCGAGCTTGAAAATTCCCATAAAGTATAAAAATTTTTGTACACTTTCGTATTGGGCATGCACCTAAACGTGTCCGTCTGTTCGTCTCTTCACATGTGTGTCTGCGAAACTGTGCAGTTTATGTGGCATATGTTCTTGCGTTAGCGATAATGAAGAAATCGCCTAAAAATTTGCAAAGGAATTTTTAAGGGACCTACGTTTTTTCAAGAACACGCCCGCAACGCAACGCCCACACGTCAATACAGCAAAATCTTTTATTTTGAAAATAGAAAAAAATCAACCGGCTTTACTCCACATTATGGGACATGAGAGTGTAGTTCTCTTGTTTTTTATCTTTTTTAGGACAACGATGATGGGTACAAAAGATTCGGTCACAACCGTATCTAAATTTCTTACTTGTTTTTTTTTTTTAATTTATGTATATTTATCTTCCTCAAAATGTCATTAACATTTTGTAGAGCAACAAAAAAAAAAAACTTAACACAAATTAGAAGGGATATCGAGCGAGATTATCTTAAAATTTAACTTGGCAACCAAGTCTGCCAGAAAAACGGCATAAATTAACTTTGTTTTAATTTGCTTCTTAAGATTTTTAACAAACTTTTTAGGAAACTGACAATGAATAATGTGAGCTAAGCTGACACATCTGGCTGGAAAAAATGTATTTTTTAAGAGCATTTTTGCATAAAAAATTTGGCATTTTGACTGATAAAAAATTTTAATAAGAATTCGGTAAAACATCCACACATATACGTTATCCGCTGGACTATAATTTGAAAGAAATTTAGCCTAATGACGCTTTCTAAACTTCTTCACATTGACAACATTGCGCCAGTTGATCTTATATCATTCTTTGTTAATGAATTCACCACATTTGAAAGATGCTATACGCATGATTCGATGCCCTACATCAGTTACACTACAGAGTATATTAAGTTTGTGCGAAAGTATGGAATAACCAGAAGGGCTTAAGATAGATCCAACTTCTATTATACCGATCCATTCGCAATCATTCTCTAAGTCCATATAATCCAGTGTGCCTGTCTGTCTGTCTGTCCATCTTCTCGTCTGCATACATCCCCAACTAACTTAATATCTTCCAATATTGGTTATATGTCTACTTTGCTGTGGCGCGGATACGAAATCGTTCATTTTTCTGAAGGCTAGGATTTTTTGGGTTAAAGCTTAAGTTGGCTTACCTGGCTGAAGGCTGAAGTGTATCGCCTTTAAGAACCGCTCATAAAAATTTTCGTATTGCCTGAAAAAATTCAATTTCTGTCATTTAAAACGTTCCTTAAAGAATGTTTTCTAAACAAATTTTGACCCTTTCTTACAATCTCTTCTATTGGCAGGAAAAGGTATATCCAACGTCTGCCTTTTCAAAGCCGAGGTTCGGCTTTATTTATTTATTCAGGTATTCATCTCTGCCTACCAATATACATTCAGCCATGTTAGACGAGACCCTTAAGGTTAAAATGGCTTAAGTTACACAATTACAGAGAAGATCATTCAAAGCACAACAAAGTTAACAGTTTTTAATTTCGGAGTAGACACATTTTTACTTCAAATATTTTAAGGCTTAAAGTATTAGGAAAGTGAACTTAAGTCTATCTATCGGAGAATATCGATCAGCAAAGTAAACAAAGATAAAATAAACAGCAAGTCGAAGTAACTATGTTATCTAGTTACCTATAAGGCATGACACTGAGATTCGAATCCACAATTATCGACCTGGTAGTTATGAATCTATGCATTATCCAGTTGTATAATTAAAATTTGGTTTTTTTAAGCAATTTTTGAGCTAACGTTTTCTTTGCCATCGTCCCACAATTTATTACGGTTTTGTTTCTCCTAAGTCAAGCTCTGACACATTCATACATATAAAACACAGCTACAAATACTACAGGCACTCTATCAACAAGAAATACAACTCTGTATCACAGATCGATTAATACGATGGAATTATCATTTTTCAAATTTCTTTAATTTATTTTTCCAGAAAGCAAAACATGTTCACCCGATGAATTCACATGTAAATCCGGTGAAGGTGAATGTATACCTCTCGCCTGGATGTGTGATCAGAGTAAAGATTGTTCGGATGGCTCCGATGAGGCCTCATGCAGTAAGACAAAGAATAATTTGTATCAATTTAGATGAAAGCAACGTAGCTTTTTATCTATCTTTTTTTTTCTTTTTGTGTTGAACACTTTTAATCTCTATCTTAAAACACGTTAAAAATATCTAAAGAAAGCACTTTTTTGTTTTTTATACCCATCACCGAAGATACTTCTCTATTCATTTTGTCAAACCGTCTGCCGCGTCCTAAAGGAAGCTTCAGAGACCGCACAAAATACATACATTTTTTAACCAGCACCGAAATTGCCGATTCTCGATTGAAGCATGTCCGTCTGTCCGTGTACGTAAAGTTCTTCATAAGCACTTGCCGGACCGCAAAACTGGAGCTACCGACTTGGCAGAAACATCGGAAGTTCTTGCACCCAAATTAGTAACGAAAATGGGCCATATCGGTCGTTCAACAGACCTGCAGTACCATGTAAACTGAGATCATCTCTGCTTTTAAAATGAATTAAAAATTGTGGTTTTTGCCCATTACTCGTAAATTACAGCGGATAAGTCTACGAAAATGCCGTGGTACCTGCACAAAAGTTGAAGCAATTGATCACGCCTACCCAATATTACATATGTAACAATAATCTCATAAAGAACATACATTCTTAACAAGTTTGAAATTCGGAATGCGCTTAAGCATGTCCGGCTATTCGTCTGTCCATCTGGCCGTCTGCTCATCTGTCCGTCTGTCCAACGCTTTAGTATCTGCGGTAAACGATCTCGCGTTTGCAAAAATTAAGATAACGGTTAAGAATATGCGAAAGATTTTAGAAATGATTCAAACTGATCAAAGGACACGCCTACAATCGTCCACGCATTTATGTAATAAAAACAAAGAACTTCTTTGCTTTCCATGTTCTTTGCTGGTTCCTCATTACCTACAACAGATACGCGAAAAATTGGAAAAGTTGTCCATGCCCACCCAATATTATAGGGTATGACAATTTAGTTTATCCTTTCAAGTCTTTCTTAGGATAATGGTGAGTGGTGGGTGTAGTAGATTCGGTCGCAACCGAATATATTATTTTTTTTACTTGTTTTTTTTTTTTTCTTTTTGCTCTGTTACTTTTTGCTTTCATTTTGGTTTGACTGTAATTAAAAATCAAATCAGTGGAAAGGAGTCTAATAAAGCTTCAAATATCCGATAAACAATAGAGTTAATTAGTAGATAAGTTTTCTTTCATTTAATATTTTGTGTATTGTTAACTTTATGGTTATGGTTATGGCTACGGTTATGGTCTTTATATATCCTTCCTTCCCTTAGATTCTAATTGTTTTGTTTTGCTATCGTACATGTACATATATATATTGCTGTTTTTCACTAATTTTACTAATGTTTTAGTTAAATGAATTTTTTTTTTTTTTTTTTAATTTGAATATTTAATTAAAACTTGTAATTATTTGCTTCCATTAAGACGATACCTGCCGTTCTGATGAGTTTACTTGCGGTAATGGCCGTTGTATACAAAGCAGATGGAAATGCGATCATGATGATGATTGCGGTGACGGGAGCGATGAGAAAAATTGCCCGATAGTGCCGTGCAACAATCATGAATTCACTTGTGGCACTGGCGCCTGCGTACATCGTCGCTGGCGTTGTGACGGTGAAAACGACTGTTCCGATGGTTCCGATGAAGCTGTAAGTAAAAATATATTTCAATTAAAGTTATCCTTTGTAGCGACAAAACCAAGAAAAAAAATTTATTTTTTCCAAGACCGAGATGGTGGCTGCCTGAGAGCAAAATAGACTGGGGATTTGCTACATTTTCTATTATTATTATTATTATTAATTTAGTCAGTTGTCTTAGAAAAGATATGGTGGAAATTGGCTCATAATAGTAAATTCACAAAGAGACCACGTGGATCTTCTGTGGATACTACTGCATTTAAGAATTCTCTTGAAACGGGAGCCCCGCTATGACAAAAAAGCCTAATTCCTAATTTGTTTGTGATGAAAATTTGCTCAGGATAACAATTAAATGAAAAACATAAGTGGACCTAATTTGAACCACATAGGTCTATTTCTTCCCACACTCCATTTAAGGTATCTCATAATATCTTCATAATTTATAGAAGCGTTTCAGCAAAAAAAATTGATGGTAAGAAATTTGAATCACATGGGCCTATTTTTCCGGACCCACACTTATATAGGCGCTATCACGAAACGCAAACTCCTGTATGGAGAGAAAATCTAAACTTCCAAAATGCGGACTTTCCCATTAAAATAATAAATGGTAGGCAATTTGGATCACATGGGTCTATTTTTTCACTTATATATATATATATATATATATCTATGTCTTTGCATAAAAACAATGTTTATTATTTCGTGTATCATTACCAAAATGAGATGTACTAGGCGTAGTGGTGTAGGGTATGTAACGGTCGGCGTCTCCCCACTATAATGTTCTGACTTGTTTTTAAGCTAACGGTGTTGTGCGTACCAAACTGAATGACAGTCGAATATAATTTTCTTACTTTTTTAATTTCAAATTCTTGCTGCTCTTAATGCCTGCTCTTGCTTAGAAGCGTACATTTTTGCTTGGCATGCAACAATTTATTATAGCAGAGTTTCGATTTATGTCGGATTTTGTTTTTTTTTTTTTTAATGCAGGGAACACTTTTCTTAACATAATTTTCTGATTTTTAGACTATTTTGCGTAGCAGAATAGAAATTTATTATGACCCAACGACATAAACAATAACCTAAGCAAGTTTTAAATTAAATTCTCATAGAGAAACTATTGAAATTCTTGTTGTTGTTGTTTGCCTTTTTTCTAATCCACTACGTATAAATACAACAATATCAACAACAACAGCTGTTTTTATTTTATTTATGCCTGTCAGAGAAAGGAAGAAAACACGAGACCAAAATAAGTATTTAATTGTTTTCTTTTCTTTTTTTTCTTCTCTTTTTTCTGTTTTAATTTATTTTTTATATGAAAAAAAAAAAACAGAAAAAAAAACAACAAACTTTAACGTAAAAGCCATAAAACAGCATAAGCTAACCGAACTTTCCTTTTAACCGCAAAATGTAAAAAGAATGGGGAATTTATACATATTGTAATTAATCCTAAGAGCCCCACAGCAGTCAACCCTTTGTTATTATCGTTATTGTTGTTGTTGTTGTCGTGATTGTGCATACATATGAGAGAGCATGGTGGGACGCATACAATGCCATATACAATACATATATATAAGATACGACGTAAATGTGCATGTGTATATGTTGTGCAAAGTGTAACCAACAAACACACAGAACACAAGCACAGCATGAACTGAAAAACCTCATGAAAATGCTGATTGCTTAGATTACTTGCGGACTTTTGTAACCAACGATGCATTGCAAAATTGGTAGCCATGCACTCTATCTCACTTTGTTCCTCTCCCTCTCTTTCTCTCTCTCTCTCTGATCACACTTTTCTTTTTTTAATATCCACATCCCTAGTATGGGAGATGTATGTGTTTCGTCAAGACTTTTGCAACATGAACAAGTAAGCCGCCTATAGAGGGGCATAGGTCAACTTAAAATACCCTACATCATCCTACAGTCATTCAAATGTAGACTTTTCAAAACTGGGCATTATATAGCAAATAATCGAAAAAGGGGTCCGATGGGAACCATCTTTGGTAGGATTCGTCTTTGAGCTAAAACATGTTGGTTTACCACAATTTATTGAAATGTCTCAAAAATTGTGGCCTGTAGGTTATATGCAGGAAAAAAAGAGAGACAGATAGACAGACAAGAAAACAAAATGGACAGAGGAGTACACAGACAGATGAAGAGACAAGCTTAGGCCGAGAGTGAATTTGAAACTCTCATAAATAGTAAAAGGTTTTTTGTGCGTAGCATACATCCGCCCAAACTTAACATACTCTTCCACCACAAATGGTGTAGCGCAGAAAAAGAAATCCCCAGAGACTTTAAAAAGTACAGGGATGAGAAGTAAAAATTCTACAGGCAGCTACACTCATCCGTCGGTCCGTCTACGCAAATGCAAATTTTCCAGAAACTGTTTAACTTGTACAAGTGAGTTGATAACGAAAATTACCTAAGTCCAATGAAGGACAGACCTATTGAAAAACATAAGTTACGAAACTAGTTATTTTCATTACTCACCGATTGCAAGTAATTCAATGAAAAAATGTCAACTTGTATTTTACGGATGACCTAACAATCTAAAAAAGTCGAAAAAAAATGGAAAAAATCGATCATACCCATCCAATGTTATAAAGTGGCCGAATTTCCTTTCTTGTTTTTTTTTTGTTAAGACAAAAGTATAGAGTACAAAAAGGTGTGACTTTAGTCGAATATAGTTTTCTTTCTTATTTTCCTTCGTTGCTTTGCTTTATTTAACGAGATATTTCAAAAAATTTTAAAATAAAACATTTAAGCAGCGAATGTTAGGATACCCAACATCTCGAAGGAAATGTATCAGAATTTTTTTAGTGAAGTATTAATTGAAGGCGTGTCATTTGCTCGAAAAAAAAAGTTTCGTTTAAATAAAATTTTGTATAACTTCGGTAACGTATCTTCGCTACTTGTAAACAATTTTACGCTAATATCCGGATTATTAGAATTTAACATGAAATCTCATTTCACGGGTCACGCCCACTTTCATATCATATTTATGCATTTCAACAGCATATATATATGTTTATGTATATCAATTTTAAAAGCCTAGCCTTGCATTAAAAAGTACAGTTCAACAAAAAGACGATTGGACGGACATACTAAGAGGCTCAAATAATTCAAGGTTAAATTTGATTGGGATCGTATAAAATTGTCTCTTGTTTTTCAATAATCAAGCAGAAAGCGAAGCGAACGAACAGGCAGAGGAGCATATACTTTAACGAGGAAGTACACGCTTGAACATGGGAATGAACAAGAAGACGCACTTAGCTGTAATCTCTTAAATAAGCCATCATATATCGAAGTTAGGCAGGAAAATGTTCTCTACAATTTTTCTTTTTACTCTTATTAAGAATGCATGGACTTTGGACTTGTTCGTATAATATCATGGACAGACAAAAAGTCGGATTGAAAGGTGAACGTACGAATTGACAGATATAGATTGAGAATAGTGGCTAAGACCATATGTAGACCACTTCAAAATTTCTCCTTAGCTTTGGAAATTAGGTGACGCGTATCTAATATACATTCATATCCGTCTATGCTGTCCATTAGATAAGTAATCTTTCTTTTGTTTGTTGCTTTTCGAATTGTGCTCACTTCACCATTGTTACTGTTGCTATTATTTCGTAGTAATGTATGTTTGTGTGTAGCTAACGAATTGAATTTGTAACTGTTATAAAGCAAATACAACAATAGCTGCTGCTGGTATTTGTATATTTGTATTTTGTTTTGTGCTTGGACGTACGCAGGCAGACGTCATAGCATGCGGGCATAACTAGAATGGCTTGTTAGCAATGCAGTTAACATGTCAAATATTAAACAAATGTGTATGTATTCGAAAAATATTAAAATGAATTTTTCCAGTGCCTCTTTTTCTTTCTTCCTTTATTTCTTTCCTTGTTGCTTACATCGTATCCTATCCTATGTCATTTTCCCCCTTTATTTCTCTTCTATCTCTCTTTCTAATTTTGTCTCTATCTATCTCTCTCTCTCTCTCTCTACCTCCTGTGGCCATCTAACTTCCTTGCATCTTATTCTATGTCGCTCTCTACCTTTCTTTCTCTCTCACTCTCCCCTTTATTCTGTCTTTCTTTCCCTTTCTACTTATTTATCTTTCAATCACCCCTCCACCCCCCTCCCCAGTTTATAACTACCACTACCACCACCCGCCATCTCCTTACGCCTCTGATTTCACTATCTTAAACCCAAAGGCAGTCCAATACCCCCTCTGCCCCTCCTCGAGCACTATGGTAACATAACGCAAACACCCGTATTAATCCAGCCGCTTAGTACAGGTAGTTCAATTGTGGAATTTGTCTAACTTTGTTTCTTCGCTCCAGGGACATTAAAGAGAAAGGGGGTTGTGTCTTTATTACATTCATTGTCATCAGTTGATTTTATTCACTTAAAATTACTTTTTACTAACATATGGCAATGATGTGGATGAAACTACGCATTCTGGATCCACATATATAGTTTAATCGATTTATCGGTAACCCTGCTTTTGTGTTATCCCTTTCATTATCATAACCTACTCTACACTTTTCAACTGAAGAAAAACAAAAAAAGTACTAGAAAACAAAGCTGTGTGTGTATATAGGATTTAATTTTTTATCTGTTCATATATTATGGGTTAAGGCATCACCAGTCAAGTTATTAACTGCAAAAGTATTATCACTATTTATATCGCTCAGTTAGTATATATAAGCTTGTAACACATAAAGATATACTTCAACAAACTCATAAAAATTGAACCATCAGTAAGGGTAGCTGCGATCTTATATTTACATTTTTGAAAGCTTTACCTAGAAGAACTTAGACTTAATGATAATATTCTCTTCTCATTCAAACTTCACAATCAACAAAAGTGGCCAGAGTGTCCAACCATAATTATAAAGAAGTAAGGACAGTATGGTGAAGCAAAACCGACCATAAGATACCCTATATCACTTCGCCTAATACAGTTATACTCACTCATTTTGGTGATAAGACACCAAATCGTACGCCTTACTTTCATCCAATGGCATAGTTTTCACGACAGTCCACGTAGTGGAGGACGCCACAAAACATTACGTGACGTCATATCAATTTAGGAAAATTAATTTACTTTCCAAAAATTGTATTATTTTTCAATTTCCGCCATAGAAAACTAGGAGTTTAAACTTTCTCTCCAATATAAGAGCGTGTTTTTCATGGCAATCCGTATCTATATTAGGATTCAAAAATTAGATTTATCCCATCTAAATTCCCTACCGTTAATCGCTTATGCTAAATTGCTACTATGGACCAATTTTCCTCATAAAATACTAAAGATTAATCCCTTTATTATTCATGAGAAATCTAATAGCAGGTCCACGGGGTTCAAGCTTGGTCCACTTAATTTTTATACCAAATTACTACCGTTTACTAATTTTCACCATAAAAAATTAACAATTACGCCGTTTTGACTTACAAGAGTTTAAATGTACCGACAATCCTTGTAGGCGATGGTGTCACGTAGTCCAAATTCGATAAAGTTGATTTCTTTGTCAATTTACGATTACGAACCAATTTTCATGCAGACGTATTGAAAATTAGGTCGTTTTACCGCAAAAACATTCAGTTTTCAGAGAAGCAATTACATGAGAAAAGGTTCCAAACATTGCCACAGGCGATACAAAGTTTTCGCACCAATTCAGAATGCCGAAATATTATTATCCAGCGACTTTTATTAGGGGATTTTGAAATTTGCAATTTCTTTCTCTAAAACGACTGTTGGAAACGACTATATGGAAAGCAATCAAAAGCGTGGTCTGACCCGAACCATTTTCGTCATTGCGCCAAAATATGTTCTGTTTACAAAATTTCGCCAAAATATTTGGAAAACTTCAACCTTTAGGTTGAACACAGGGAAATAAGACAGGAAGAAGGACGGATGGACAGACGAGACCGATTTAGAAATTAATTCTGACGAGAGATCGATTTAAAAAATGATTCTGAATCAGTCAGCACAAGTGTCGTAGAGTATAAAAATAATAAAAGAAAAATCATCCCTTCTCCTTAAGACAGACGAGGAGCTTTACGCAAACAAGGCACGACACTTAAAGAATTCGTTATTGTTAACTTGTAATGCAAAAGAGCAAAAAAATGAAGAGCTTGATCGATTATAGTAATGCAAGCGGTACTTTATAAATCTACGGAATTGATATTGGCTTGGATCTTGGTACCATATCGTATACAAACTACATATAGTTTTTATTATATAATATATTTTTTAACAGTAAAATTTTTATTTATTTCTTACATAACAGGGTTGCTTAAATCTTACACAATCAATAAATCCTTGTTTGCGCTTGGAATTCCAATGCAAAGATCTCATTACGTGCATTAATTTGGATTGGTTATGCGACGGTGAGGCCGATTGTCCGGGTGGTGATGACGAACATCTCGCAAACTGTAAAAACAAAACTTGTCGTGACGATCAATTTCAATGTGATAATCTTTCATGCATTGCCGGCCAATTGATCTGTAATGGTGTGGCCGATTGTGCTGACAGAAGTGATGAACGTAATTGTGGTAAGTGTTTTCGAAATATATTTCGAAATATTTTTTTTTTTGAAAATTTCTACATGTTTTTACAATGTTTTTTGTTAATAAATGTAGATTTACACAAACAAACTGTTTGTAATGCTACTACACATTTCGATTGTGGTGGCGGCCAATGTATACCTCTTGCCAAAGTGTGTGACAAACAAAAAGACTGCCCCGATGGTGAAGATGAACCCGCCAATAAATGTGATATTAATGAATGCTCCATTGATAACGGTGGCTGCATGCACAAATGTATCGATCAACCGATTGGTTATCGCTGTGAATGCGAAACAGGGTAAGCCGTAATGCTAAATATATAATGATTATCTATAAGCTTTAGATTGCGTATGTAGAGATTTTTTGCTCATAGGGCGACCATTTGTATATTTTCAAACTTCAAGTTGTTGTCATTTTTGCAACCTACGAATCTTTTAATGATATACAGGTGAAGTGACAGACAGCCAGATGGAACGGATGGATGTTGGAATATACATGTGTCTGATACATAGTTTTATGCATTGCAAACCACATAATGAATGTCTTATCTTTTTTGCCATCAAGTTTGGTTACATGTAAGGTTCGCAATATATCGATATTATCCGATCGAGACTGTCTATAAAAAATTTCCAAAAAATTTATTGGTTTTACAATAAGTTTTATCGACTGAGAAAGAGCATAAGGAGACAAATCCAAAAGAAGTTAAACTGTCCACTAGAAAGAAATTATGGATGAAATTAAGGAAGGCGAGAGGGCTAGAAGGACGATGAACTCTTTATGAAGACATTAGGCTCTTCAAGCAGCCAATAGATTGCCTACGTAAAGACCGAACAAGCCAAGCAGCTTAAAAAGCGCCGGCAGTTCTCCAAAGGCGACATGTAAGAAACCCCCTAGGCCAACTAGTGAATAAGAGAAGCCAGAATTACTGGCAAAGTTAACATCCAAAAAGCCACAACCGCTTACAAGAGGGTGCTGAGCAACCTGTGAGTCATGGTTTTATCCAGAACTAAAGACACTAATCTCCCTATTACAGACATATTTACACAACAAAGACTTAAAATGACTAACGGACTAGTCAGTTAACGTTTCGGACAAGCTTATTAGTAACAGGGCTCCTCTAAGCAGAATGTATTCACTCGAATCGTAACAGCTTCCGTTACCGTATCATAATCAAGGTAGTGGCGCCACCAGTCAATTTAATTTAAACTTGACCTATGACTTCACGATGCTATTTAAAGCGAGCTAAAAGTCTCTTCATATATGAATGCAAAGTAAATGAGAATGAATGACGCTATTAAAGTATTTCTATCAGTTTATTAAAAGATATGTGGCGAAGCTTCTTGATTTTTCAGTCAAAAAACCTGCGATCAAAGTTCATTTAAGTTAACAAACTTTGCTAAGCTTATGTTCTTGATACAACGTCGATCGAAAGCGTCGCAATAGCTGCAAAGATAACTAGACAAAAGGTATTTTAACACTCAGCAACGATACGGGTTTCTTGCTCACAACACATCTCAGCTTTTTTAAATCTCATTTCACACAAGCCTCATGAAATGAAGTTCATTCACTTATATGAACGAGACCAGTTAGGCTTTGTTTTTCGAAGAATATTTATCTTAGCTCACAAGTGACTAATAAGGCTTCCAATAGAAAGGCTTGTTTGACTAGCCATGAAAATCATGAAAACCTTGTTGCATAGTTATTATTAGCTATTAGTATTAAGACTAAAGTCTTAAAGCACTAGTATTCCAGAGCTGTTGGCTAAAAACTGTTGTAACATCTACGTCCGGAAATCTACGTTTGCCAATGTAACAACCTATGTCAAAGGAACCCCACGTTGGGCGCTAATTTTGTGCAACCTGCAGTATCTGTGAAGTCCTCTAGGCCTACTTAATTATTGTCTACGGACTTTATTGTTTGTACGGACATTCTTCAATGCCACTTATAGAGGATCGGAGGCTGGAGAGATTGGAGTGCATGCCATAGCTGAGCTAATTAGTTCGAGGGATGTTTTTCAAGAGCACTCCACAGACAATGGAAAAAATGCAAGAAATGCAAGTACTTTACGAATAGATGGACAAAAGCAACCTACTTTACGAAAAAGCAATATCCTTAGACCTTGCAGGCCATTCTTCCCTCTACCCTACCTAAAGTCTCCCTCGGCCCATGATATCTATGGGAGACCCCGAAATTGGTTACAGTTTTTTTTTTGTCACGAGTAAAATTAATAAACACACTTATTACAGGGTTGTATCTGTAACAACTCTTACATTATACAACCGCATGTTACACTCCATCGCCATTGAGATTTGAATCCACGACCATGGAACTATTAGTCGTGGTGCTTTGCCTACTCGAGAGCTTCATATCTTCATAAACATTTAGTTTTAATACAAGTCGAACGGCAAACATGTGTCAAGTATTTTTTGATACAGAGATAATAATAGTAATATAATAATAATAGTAATAGTTTGCCTTATCTAAATTCACGTTGATCAAGTGAGTCTTAGCCAAGCCAACAACCGAAAATCGTCTTTACGGGAAAACAAAGCAATACCAAAATTTTAGAATGTCAATCCGATACGGTTAATATCCAGCGTGGCCTGAGCAGGTAGTCCTCATCCGGAAATGGTAACTGAACCAAGTCTCATTGACAGTTAGTTTCTTTTCCAAAACCGTTGCCAAATAGTCTAGTAGATAACAAGCGCTGTTATCAAGTCGGTCATACCCCAGCCAATCGGTAACCCGGTGCATCATACCTTAATTACGATTTGCCTACAGTCGGGGTGTAGTGATTATTCAAGCAGTAAAAGCATAAAACTTGCCGATGAGATGCATCTTCCCAAACTACAGCCATACTCACTCCCTGCCCTGCTTTTCCCACTACTTCAGCACTATCACCTTGTTTAACTACGTGTAAGGGATACACCCTGACTGACAAGACGGGATTAATAAGTTGATTGCCACATCAGCCACCGGCGACTAACAGTGTAAAATATGATAAAAAACTAAAAAATTTATATTGTTTCGAATAAGTTTCAATCGGTTAGCAGTGTGTGGTCGCATTGCTTCTAAGCAACGCGCATGGTCTGATGGAGACTTCCCTCAAAATTCGAGTGACACTCAATGTGCCAATCATCTTTATGACTCACAACTTATTATGGTTTCGGTTTTTATTCACTTTTTGTTTCTTTCTCTATCTCTCACTTCACGAAATTGCAATTGAATCGAAAGAAACCTGTAAACGTTTGTTTCGTTCAAATTTTTACCGTTGCTGACATCGTACGTTTAAATCTTGTGGTTCTCTCTAACTATGGAGAGGAAATTAATGCAATTTTTCAATTGTGTTTCTTTAAAAAGAAATAAAAAAGAACAACTAGCCAAAGGTAAAAGAACGTTTACGTTGTTGTGTGTCCTTGAAGGAAATCTAATTACTTGAAAATGTTCATTTAGTCACATGGGGAAAATGAAAATTCTCTTATGTCACGTGAACTTAATTGAAATTCGCCGAAATTTCTGAAACAACATGACAACACCAACAACTATACAGTATTGAATGGTTTCCGTTGTGCTTTGTCTTACAGCTACAAACTCATTAATAATCGAACGTGTATAGATGTGAATGAATGTGCCGAAGATCCGGGTGCCTGCTCGCAAATGTGTATCAATGAAATTGGTGGCTTTAAATGCGAATGCATGGAAGGTTACATGCGAGATCCCCGCAATCATACACGTTGTAAGGCTACCGAAGGACATGCATCGCTGCTATTGGCACGACGTCATGACATTAGGAAAATTGCTTTAGATCATATGGAAATGACATCGATTGTGAATAATACAAAATCGGCGACAGCCTTAGATTTTGTATTCCGTACTGGGATGATATTCTGGAGCGATGTATCAACTCAAAGCATTTACAAGTAAGTATTTTTAACACGTAATTGAAAATCGAAAGCTGCTGCCTGCTGCCTGCTGTTGCGCTCGCTCTCTTTTATGAATTCAATTTAATCTTTTTTTTATTATACTTGAATATATTGAACTGAGTTGCTCCGCTTTATCTCCTTTTGCATTTTAGAGCTCCAATTGATGAAGGCAATGAGAAAACTGTAGTATTAAAAGCAAGTAGTGTAACATCAGATGGTTTGGCAGTTGATTGGATTTATAATCATATTTATTTCACTGATACACACAAAGGTACCATTGAATTGACCAATTTTGATGGTAATATGGGTAAAGTTTTAATTGAAGATGAACTGGATATACCGCGTTCAATAGCGTTAGATCCAATTGAAGGGTAAGTAGTAGTGTAGGACTCTAGTAAAACTACAAAAGGCAAAAAAATTATTCTATTAATTTTTTTTTTTTTTTTTTGTTTAGTTGGATGTATTGGTCGGATTGGGGCGCCTCGCCACGTATTGAACGCGCCGGCATGGATGGTACCCATCGTACTACTATAGTAAATTATGATGTTAAATGGCCGAATGGCATTACATTGGATATGGTACGTAAACGTATTTACTGGGTTGATGGCAAATTAAATATTATCTCATCGGCCAATTATGATGGCTCACAACGTCGTCAAATTTTATATTCAACGGAATATTTACGCCATCCATTTTCAATAACAACATTTGAAGATTACATATATTGGACTGATTGGGATAAGCAAACCGTGTTCAAAGCGAACAAATTCACCGGACAAAACGTCGAAGCTATAACAGCAATGCATATGGTAAGTGGAAGTGTTTGCAAAAAAAAAAAACAAAAATTTTCTTTTTTTTAGTGATAAATAATCGAAAAATTCGTAGCTACTTTTAAAGAAATCTCTTTAATAATCATCACATATCTATACATATTTGTACGAATTGTAAAAGAACTTAATAGTTGCGTTCGTATCGTTTAAACGTTTCAGTCTGATGCTAGGTCAGGTTTTTAAAAGGCTCCGCGCATATCATTTTTACGATACATTTTTTGTACTAACTGGCGTAAGTCATCAGCAAATTGCGGTCACCATGTCAGACCGATCATGCTTTACATGATTCCGATTCTGCCAAATTTTAACTTAAAATTTTATATAAACGAAACGTGAACTTTTTTAAAAGTTCCAAAGCGTAAACTTTTGTCTTCTCGTCTCGATTTTTGAAACTATGTTCATTCTAATCATAAACGCATGGATGGAGTGTCAAACGAATGAAAAGAGATTAACGACATAAGGCAAAACGTGCAAACAGACAAACGAATAAGACCACTGCAAGACAATTCCAGTCAATTAAACGACATAAGTACGAACGGACAAAGGGTCAGAGAAACGAATAAGACAAGATACCCACTAAAACGACCTGAAATAAATGAAAACGTTTTGAGATATTCTAATGACATAAGCACGGATGATCCGAAGGACGGGCAAGCCAGACCATCTACTAAGAAGACTAACAAAGACGGAAAACTTTCGAGAAATTCTAACGATATAAGTACTGGTTTGCTAACGGGCATATGAGTAAGACAAGATGACTACTAACACGACCAACAATAAATGAAAACCATTGGAGGCAATTCAACGATGGAAGCACTGACGGAGAGACAAACGAATAAAACAAGATACCTACTAACAAGACTAAAGGTGAATGAAAATCTTTCGAGATATTTTCATTTTATAAGAACGAACTGGCAAACGCCATAGAGCAAAGATACCCACTAACAAGACCAACAATAACTAACAATCTTTGGATATGAAATCCTTTCGAGCTATTTTCATGATATGTGAACGAATGGGCAAACGCAATAAGACCGAGTGAAAAGACCAACAATAAGTGAAAATCTTTGGAGGCTTTCCAACAATGCAAGTAACAACGGGGAGAGACACGGATAGACGGACGGACAAGTGAATAAAGCAAAACACGCACTAACAAGTATAGAGGTAAATAAAAACTTTGCGAGATATTTTAAAGCAAGGACGGGCGGACGGATGGATAAACGAACAAGACAACGTACGCACTAACAAGGCCAATAATAAATGAAAACTTTTGGAGGCAATTCAACGATGTAAGCATGGACAGACAAAGGGATGGAAAAACGATTACACCAATATACGCACTAATAATATGAAGACCTCTCGAGACATTTTAAAGTACAAGTTTGGACGGACCGACGGACAATCGAATAAAAGAAGGCCAACAATAAATGAAAACCTTTCGAGACATTTTAGATGTATGAGTTTGGACGGACCGATGGACAATCGATAACTGAAAACCTTTCGAGACTTTCCAACGATATAAGTACAGACGGAGAGGCGGACCGACAAACGAAGAGCCTTTGCCCTTTGTGCGAGATGTGTTGTAGCGCCTAGCATATAATAAATAAATCTTATGAATTATTAAGACCTTAAGTCATTACACACGCGTGTACGCATCAAAAGGGGCCAAAAAAGCACAAACAGATGGGCCGCCATCCATACGCTCATCATCAACATGCATATACTAGGGAACACGTATTTCGAATAGCAAGAGACTCATGCAAAACACATTAATTATGCAATAAACGTAAAAGAAAAAATCTTTACAAACACACTACTACTACATACGAAAAGCAAAAAAGATGTTTTTACAAGTTTCAACGAGAAAAGGGAGAATATTTTTTAATGCATATAACAGCCACAGCAGCATGTGTTGCAAGTGGAAAATTGTATAAAAATTTGTAAAGTGGTCAAGTAACTGTCCATCCAAGATAAAACTTAATTTTTGTAGGAGTATAACTTTGTAGGCTGACGCTAGCAAATAAAAAAAAAGTTCTGCAATATTGATAACTAAGATTTTCATGTAAGCAGGAGAAGCAGAAGAGAAAAGAAAACATTTACCATATTATTGGGAAAATAAATTTCTATGAATAATGTTTTTTTTTTTTTTGGTTGAACCAGGAGAACAATTGGAATTTAAGGTGTAAAGATATTCAAAAAAATTCGTAGACAGATATTGCATAAAAAGGGTTATTAGCCACAAACGTATACATAATTGTCAACGACGTTCAAAACTGTTACGGCAAATGCGTTCAGGTGTTGGTGGACCCCCATTATTTGTCTTAATGCAGAAGATCCTTATAAATTTTTCAGAAAATCATTATTTTTTTTTATTTTATTTAAACTATCTCGTAAAAAGTCACGAATCCTATATAAAAAATGTAGGCGCGGCCAAATTTTAAATGCTCAAAAAACCTTTTTCCTTTACTCTGTGACAGTTGTTTACGGCTTTGAGAAATTGAAAGTTTTCAAAAGTCTTCCATTGGACAAAAAGCTTTGGAACAAGAACAAGAATTGTTTTCACAATACTAAGAATAAATTAAAAGAGTTAACCTTACCTTAGCAAGAAACGGGCTGTTAACTAACAGTTGCTAGATGTACATTTCTGCGTGTTCCAAGTGAAAGTACTATTCAGAATCTTTTGTACTCCCATTTTATTGTCTTTTTCACGTAACACTAACCACTCCGAAGTTAATAATTTCAAACCACCTTAAATTCAATATAGTAGAGCAGGTGTAAGCCATGCAATTTCGACACATGGTCGACATAAAATTGCAAAAAGTCTAAGGTTTACGCAAGAGTATGTATAAAAGGTGGTGTTTGCAAGCTTTGCACAAGACGAGTTTTGATCCAGAAAGCAGAAAACCCATTTTACACCAAGCTTGGTTTTTTTCTGCTTAATTCGAAGAAAAGTTTCTCAATAGTTACGATATTCATAAGATGCACATGTAACTACGCTGAAGAGTCGGCTAATCGGTTAATATCGACGGTAAAGCTGAATATAACTGACATGTGCGTACGGCTGCAGCAGCCCTTTCTTAGAGCCAACAACAACAACAACTGCTGATGCTAGTAAACCGCAAACCGGTCTAATAAGGCAAAGCTCGAGCAGATAATCACAAAACTATAGTCTGGTACCTCCAGGCAACTGAGCTGAGTTTCTATTTTTATGACGATATCTAAAGAAGTTGTAGGTCGCCCCAAGAGATCAATTGCCTTATTCACAGGGAATTCACATTTTGCCTAAGGAAATAAGAAAAATATTTGCTACCAATGGTCAATATTTTGAACAAAATATCTCATGTTATTGTGTTTCCCATAGCCCATTCAATAAGTACAGAGGATGATATACTCACTGCCACTGTCATTTCTGACAAATTTATGTGATCACACCCTACGCTTGTGGTGCAATGTATATTAAGTTAGTACGGACATATGTAACACCCACTTTTTATTATACCAATCGATTTAATATCATTTTCTCAATAAATTTAAGCATGTTTGTCCGCCTGTCCGTTTTATTTTCCAACCTATAGACCGCTATTTTTAATATATTTGGATAAAATATGTTACACCGCCGTTCTTTAGCGTAAGGATAAGCGCTATTGGAAAAGAGTTCGGAACGGTCCGCTTCTTCGACTACTCCCCATATAACGCCCTATGCTGAAAAATCGTTATATGGAAAAAAATTGCTATTTTCAAAATTTTTTTGGCAAAAGTGACTAAGTATTAGGATTTCGTCCCTCTAAATTAGCGTGAACATTTTCTGAAAGCCCTCTTATATAACCGATCCTGCGAAATTTGAAGCTTTAAGGCTGGCAAAAAAAGACTAACTGTTAACTTTTTTGTTATGATTAATAATTTATGATAATAATTTAATGTAAAAATTAAGTGGATCTAAATTGAACCATATGGGTCTGCTTCTTGGCCCCATTTCATATAAGATACCTCATGAGGAAAAAGACTTTACTTTTAATATTTTATGATCAAAATTAATTCATAGTTGACCAATTGAGCAAAAAAATTGACGGTTGGATCATAAAGGTGTACTTTCTTTCACTTTAAGTTATATAGACGTCATGAGTACAATTAGCGTAGGGAGTGTAATAGTTGGCGTTGCCCGACTATAATATTCTTATTGGGTTTGGGAGAATAAAGTTACATGCAATTTTACAAGAATTTTCGAAAAGCTTTTTATTCCCAACTCCTATTATCCTAGCGAATTGTAATTATTAAACTACGAACTTTTTGAAAACCTAATAGTTCGCCAACACGTATAAATGGTGACTGAGCTACAGTAAATTGTTAGGTACAGAAATACAGCGTTGCTTTTTGGTCGGAACATGGTCGTTCGCTGATAACTTCGCTGATTTTTTTATACCCATCACCAAAGAACGAGGGGGAGCAGATTCGTTTTCTCAAAACGTTTGCAACTCCTAGAAGGACACTTCGGAGATTATATGCATTTGTGATCAGCATCAAATTCTGCGATCTAAGCATGCCCGTCTTTCCGTCTATGTAATTTCAATTGTTAACATTTTCCTGACCACAAAAACTAAGTTATCGACCAGAAATTTGGCAGTAATATTGGAAATTCTTGCATGCAGGTTGGTATTAGGCTTACCCACTGCATCACGTAAAATGAAAGCAGCTTTAAACGTTTAACCTGTAAAGAAGAGAAAAAAATTAGCCACGCCCACCCAGAGTAAGGAAATTTAGTTTGGTCTTTTTTTTAAGTCATCGGTGATGGTTATAAAAGATTCGGTCACAACCGAATACAATTTTCTTACTCGTTTTAACATATAACGTTTTAATCTCTTTAACGGAGACATACGGTAATATAATTAATCATTTCAACGACGGCCTCAATGTTTTATACTATAAAATATGAACACATTCGTACATTATAGGTCCATATATATATACATATATATATATGTATGTATATGTATATACATAAATATTTTCCTTCAATTTATTCTTCGATCGTTTATATTCAAAATTCTTTTTTTTTCCTTTCATTTTTTTTTCGCTTTCTTTCCGCCTTAACTCTCGACTCAAATGCTATAAATTTCACTGGTTGGTTGGTTATACATGGGGCTCGAAAACTTATGCAAAAAAAACAACCAACGTTAATAACAATAACACTAACAACAGTTGCAGCATCCGATGGTTATACATGTATATCATCCGTATCGTCAGCCAGATGGTGAAAATTATTGCCAGGCTGTTAACGGACATTGTTCACATTTATGTTTGCCAGCGCCGCATATTAATGAGCGTAGTCCACGTATATCGTGCGCTTGTCCCACCGGTCTTAAGCTAATGGAGGATGGACAAATGTGTGTCGAAGACCGTAAGTGCATATATAAAACAATTCTTTTTGCTTTACTTTTCCCACAAATTTTACATACATATTTGCTGTTAAGTCAGTAAGTTAGTGAGAAGAAGAAAAAGAAAAAGAACATGTACCACCAATTTTTAGTAAAATTTAATTTAATTCTTTTCTTTAAAAATTTTTATAAATAATTTTTAAATTTCTATTTTACAATTTTTTTTATTATTATCTTTGTTGTTTTTTTTTTTTTTTTATTTATCTATTTATTTTAAATATATTTTATGTTGTATAACACAAAAAAAAAACAAAAAAAAAAATTCCCCCGATGACATCGATATGTTGTTTTGTGCCATTCGTGTTTAATATGTGATTGAATGAAAACAAAATTGAATTGAAATCAATTGAAAATCATATATAGCAACGTATACAGCAAGTTTACCGCAACGGCATAATGTGATCAACATACCAAAGATTAATTTTAATATTCCCACTTACTCGCCTTTGGATTTAGAACAGGAATCAACAATGTCAACGTCGTCACACTCATCATTATCCGCTTCACATGAATTTGACGTCATATCGTCGTCTCATAGCCAAATACCTCAAAATGAACACAGAGCCACTGCTAATGACGACACGAATAATGCCACTACTATTACTCATCATATAGTAGAAAACAGCGCGGGTATGATTTTCAAGTTATATCTCCACAAAATTTTCAGTTCACAACTAATAATTATGTTTTTGTCCTGTGTATTTGTATGTTTGTGCACGTGTGTGCACGTATGTAAAAGCATTCAAATTGAGCATTAATTATTTATTATTCACTTATATGTATGTATGTAATTCTATCCTTTGCATTACCGCACAAATAGGTTTTGGTATACAATTACTTTTTGGTTTTTTTTTTTTTTTTTCTTGTAACTAAATATGGATGAAAATCATTACAATTCATTCTATTAGTACTTCATCATTCTATAGTTCTATCCATTCTTTGCTATTATATGAATCGCAATCGATTTTTATGATGAAAAAAGTTAGACTTGGCTTAAGCCGAATCTCTTACTTATTTAAATATAAAAAAGAGAGAGAAAATCCTTTTATTCCTCATGCCGTTCACAAATTGTATTTTATATATCGTACACTTTATAACATATATATTTTTTAATATGACAGCACCTTATAAGTAATAACACAAGTGAAAACTTTCCCCATTAGCTTGTATTTGACTATAGAGCGTTGTTGCCTTCATTCGGTGTACTGGCCATCCATTGGATTTAACATATCGCATATCGTATATTATGGCGGCGTCTTATAAGTAATAATAAAAGTGAAAATTTATTAATTACCGCAAGTAGCTTTTAAGTAGTAAGTAGATATAGAGGGTTGATGCTTTTATTCGCTGCATTGACTACCCAGCCGATTTTTTGTACCGTATACCGTATATTTTCTGTATAATTTGGCAGCACCTCGTAAGCAACAACACAAGTGAAAACTTTTAGTTATCACCACTAGCTTACGTACAGTGCTTGACTATAGAGCGCTGTACTCGCTATTCATTGGTTTTGACGTATCGTATATCGTATATTTTCTGTACAATTTCGCAGAACCTTATAAGCAAAAATACAAGTGAAAACTTTTAATTAACACCATGATTAGCTTGTGTCTCGATAAAATTTGACGGCGCTTTATAAATGACAATACAAGCTAAACAAGATAGGAAATACAAAGACCTAAGGGCGAACACCTTTGCATACAGTATGGGGGTACAGCACAAATACTTTCAGTACCATATTCCCTTTTATTTATCGTATACCGCATATTTTTTTTATGCAATATGACATTTTGCGGTAAATACTACCATAAACCATATAACAAATGAATTACGTGAAACTGAAGCTAACTTTAAATTTTCATGAATGGTTTGTGGGTGTCCAACATGGGACTATGAGTGAGAGTAGAAATGCTCTTGCTCGGCTTATCTATCACAAATTTGTTTTTACTTAACATATACCGTATATTTTTTATGCATATTGGCAGCATTTTATAAGTGACAATATAAATTAAATAAGATATGAGATACAAGTAAGTTGACCTAACTTTTAATTAGGTAGCTTTTAATTAGTTTGTATACAGTATGCGACTACGAAGAGAAAAACAGATGCATTTATCCGATGTGTTCATTCCCAATTTGTCTCTTATTAATTGTATATCGTATAATCCTTATAATATTTGGCAGCACTGTGTAAGTAACTGTGATGACAGGCCAAGAAATAATTTACATACTTGTGTCCTGGATCAAGCCATCTTTTGTTACATTGTTTGCGATATTTGATTGCCGCAGGGAGCCTTAATCAATGGATATATTTTTTTTAATGCTTATATTTATGTCGTAGATATATTCCTAATTTAAATCGCAAGAATTAACAACAATTTATACAAACATAGATATTATTAATTCATTCTATACCTGCCTAACAATTTCAGGGGAACTTTTAGTACGACCTATACCTGGTTTCCCACACATTATTAGAGAAGAATAACTAAAAATATTATAGGCAGTTGTGGTGCACCATTCGCTACCCTACATCGATGTACAGGTATTCATATAATAAGGTTCCAAAATCAGGCGTTATATAGGAAGTGGACAAAAGTGCTGTCAAATTTTCAATAAGGCTCTTGCTTAGGCCACACGGTGCACATATCTCAAAACATCTCAAAAACTGTGGCCGGTATACATGAAAAAGCAACAGACGGACAGATTGAGGGACAACCTAAGCTCGATTAAGAATATGGAGGAAGGAAAAAATGGAGGGCCTATCCTAAGCGTTTCGGGGTCTTATATATCTTTAAAAATATATTCCTTTATACGACAAATGGGTTAGGAAATCAAAAATTTAAAATGAACAATCGAAAGATCTAGAATTTGATTCACGATTACAAGCGACAGCCATATGAACAGGCAAACAGATGCAGTTAAATGCATTTCGTTATTCGCGTAGATCCGTAATGGCTCTTTTACTTTTTTCTATGCTCTACAGTTTCCATGGACTTGTTAATAGCTTAGTGAATCTAATAATTAAGCTACATACTCTCCCTCTCGTGCAAAGATTATCTTTGCATTGAACTCATCCAAACACACACACACACACACACACACAAGTCTACATACTTATCTTGGCCCATATACGTTACACTATTTATAGTTTCTGAAGCATTGCACTGCATTTAATTGTGACTTGTTCAAACCAAGTTAATGCCATCGGTTTCGTTGAGATAGCACAAACACTTTACCACATTCCTGTCGGTGTTGACGTATTTCAATTTTCTTTTTTTTTTCATTTCTAATTTGTGTAATCATTTCAATCTTCTTACTTTTAATACCCACAGCCGACAAATGGGAGATGTATTCATTTTATCAAAGCATTTGCAACGGTCAGTTTAGTAGCTCCACACGTTAAGTTTAGTACCTTCACAAGCTGTAGGAAGCATCGTCTTGATCGCAAAAGTGAAGCTTTTGTTATCAAATTTAGCGCAAATTTTACAAATTCTTGCTCACTAGTTGGTATTAAAAACGGGTCAAATCTAGTAAATGAGACGTCTGCACTACTCCGTAAGTACCTGCACAATACCTATGTTGTCTTGACAAGCACCCATTTTTCATTCAGAAGCAGTTTCGTAGTAGATCTAAGCTTGTCTGTCCATCTGTCCTTCTTGTCTTCTTGAGGTACATCCACCTTTTATACACCAGTACAACAAACGTTGCACATTTACTTAAGAAGTGCTACCAAATCGTAATAAAAACTTATCGCATAAATGGATCGTATCTTTAGAATCATAGGTCGTCCAAGTCACCAACAGTCCAGTTCTATTTGAGAGTATGATTGAAAACATATTATGGTAGACATTAATGGATATGCTTCGCTACACTTACCATCGAAAACCTCCCGTTAAAAAATGGAATTAACAAATGGTTCACCCGCCCATTGCAAAAATTGACTACGCCCTTGCTCTTGCTCTCATTTTCTTGCTATATTTTAGAATATAAATAAACCCCAGCAGAGAAAACAAATGAGAGCGAATATAATCCATCACCAGTAACAGACCATGATAGAAAAAAAAACAAAACAAAACAAAATAAAAACAATAGCAACAACAACCACATAATCTTCACATCAAGCAGTAAAATAAAAAATAAAAAAGAAAGAGAGAAAAAAAATGTGGGGGATAAATAAAAGAACCCAACGCTAGAGCATTACTTAAACATTATATACGAAAGGAAGAAAGTTAACTTAACGGTATAAATACCACCCTTGACATAGAATTATTGAGGCAACTTTTTTAGTACAGTAATGAAAAATTCTCGGTATGTATGTGCAAGCAAATAAATTGATAGGATAGAGAGAAGTATAAACCAACAATCCTCTTTTATTCATAGAAAACAGATCACAAGTGATTACTTAAAACAAAGAAGGGTGCAGGGGAAAGCGTTGCGAAACTTTGCGGTTTATAATACTGCGGTGTCGATATTATCACAACAACGAAGAGCTTATTGAAAATTGTGATAGTAACAAAATTACAATAATTACAACAATAGCATCGAAAATGAGAAGAATGATAACAATAATCATCATGTACAGCTTGAGGGGAGAGCGAAAGGAAATAAATTTTTCACTTAAATACCTGAAATGAAATTCATGGTGAAGTCAAAAGCAGCAACGCAACAACCACTCACTCATTGATAATAAAATAATTGTATAGAAAAAGTGTGCAGTTAAAATGCAAGAAGAAAAAAAATATTGAGAACAAATAAAAACACTATTATTAAATACCCTACACCATTCAAAAAAAAGTGATGGAAATAATGATCTGATTCGAACCGATCAAACGGTCAAAGCAATAATCAAATTTCATCAAAATAATTCGGAAATTGTGGCCTATAGGTTGACTAGACAAAAAAACAAGGCAGACAGCGGGACAGACAAGCTTGGGCCGAAAAACAAAATGATGCTAGTTCTGAGTATAATAAAAGGCGGGTTTATCCCAAATCCTTCTAGGTGTTGCATAAAACCCGCACAAACTTTAAAATACCCACACAACACCTACACAAATAGTGTAGAGTATAAAAATTCATGCCTCATCTGGGAGCTAATAATACTATAATGTATTTCTTGCGCTTATACACGATAAGCAATAGAAAAATGGTAGTAGATCTGTGAATGACATTTTCATAATTAATTTTAAAAAAAATTCAATTTCTTTGATTGAATTTATTTATTAAAAATAGATTGAATATTATTTTCCACTAATTAGAGCGTCAGTAGCAAGGAATTCCATGAGTGGAAATTGTTAGAAAGTAAAAAAGAAAAAAAGTTGTAGAATTTTCATATTTAACATTTATCATAAAAAACCGGATTAGTCACATAAGAACTTTAAATTTTATAAGAAGTGATCAGTGTTAATAGGAATCAGCGTGAATGAGAAGTGGACAGCGTGACTAAGCAGTAATCAGCATAAATACGAAGTCACCAGCATGAATAAGTAGTGATCAACAGTAATAAGAAATGATCGATCTGAATAAAAAATGATCCGCGTAAAGAAGAAGGTATCAGTAAGTGATCAGAATGGATAAGAAATGATCGGTGGGAATAAAAAATGATTAGCACGAATAAAAAGTGATCAGCG